GTGATCTATTAGTATACGTTCATTTTAAATCCATATTACATTTATACATTACATTTAAGATTAAAATTAATATGAATGAAAATAACAATAGTCCTATTATAGCATATATTAAATAATGATGGTTTGTTTTAACATGTCCATTTTGTCGATCCAACTCATTTTCTACCATTAGTTGTATGTTGTCTAGAGAATGAGCTAATTCATGAATATTATCTAATTTTAATAAATCGTTCTTGTGTTTGTATTTAGGTATTTCCAAAGATGGTATGGCTTTAGGAATTTTCATCGTTAAGCTACCTTCGCCCAACTTAGGTATGAAATTTACATAGAATTTTGATTTTATTTCCCTAGTTGGATTTAAAACTATATCATTGGCATAAGCTCTGCAATCCTGATTTATATATATTAGTCCCTGATTTTGGATTTTTAGGATATATGGTTCTGTTTCCCGTTGACATGTTATCGTTAATGTGTCATTAATAGTTGTGTATAACAAAGTGTTTGAATATTTTAATTTATGATATATATTTTTAGTGATGATTATTACTCCTGCTTCACAATTATTTGGTAAAACTTCTGGATTTTTAAATAATGATACTTACACGGCCTTTAAATAAAATACTCAATTAATTCTCAATAATTCACAATAATAAAATTCTTTTTAACTCTCAATAATATTCACAAATTTTTAACAATTTTCAACTTAATATCTCTTATTCTCTTTTTAATGTAGCGAGCTGTGACTATGTTTAAATATTATAAATAATCACTCCAGTAAATCACTCCAGTAGTTATATATATACAGGAGAAACACGATATGTTGAAGGAGGCCTACGAAGCGTCTATTGCGCGTGACCTCGAAACGTATATGTTAATAAATATATCACTACTTATATGAATATTATTAAAATAGTTCACATTAACAGCGTTGTGTTGCCTCAATAGAGATGACAACGACCAGATAGGCAAGGGACATCCGACGTGTGCAGCGCGTGGCCGCCCACGGTATGACCTTATATGGTAAAGTAGTAGGATAATAAGCAGGGATACGATCCAAGGATCACCATTATAAAATACGTCGCTCGAATAGGCTTCGGCAGACGGACCAACACCAACGACAAGCTAGGAGCTAGGATATGACAGTCACATCTCGCTAGTCTTCATTATTTAATATAGTCATTTTGGACTTAGTAAATTTATTGTTTTTTTATTAAACAAAATAAAAGTAGATAAAATAAATGTTATTATTATTTTATATTTATTTAATTATTTGTTTATTTTTTTATTATTATGAGGTATAATTTTTAAAATGTTGAGCCAAATTCTCGTATTTATATTTCCTGATCACATAGTCAAATATACACTTCGTATAAATAACGTCTGTGCGAGGATCATGAGCATGTGTTAACTTATGCTTTTTATGACATATTTTATTGTGTGTTTCTTCCAGGTTCATTAAAATTTTGGGACATACGCGGAGAATATTATTTGCGTCATTATTGAAAACTTCAACATAATGCCACCAACTGATACATTTTTTTTCAGGGGAAGTCTATACAAAGACAAAAAAGTTCTGATAAAATTTGTAACAAAAATATTAATACATTTTAAAAATTAAATAATTACTTTTAAAAATTTAACATTAAATAATCTATTTCGAACAGTTTTTATGAGGTTAGGTGCATCAGAAAATAAATAAATTCTTCTTGTTGTATCCATTGGGTGGGTAAAACTATTTACAACATTATTTTTCAAACCACCAACACCTAATTCTTTCCACACTTTGCGATTTGTCGCCGCTCCATCAGAAACAATCCCATCAACTTTAGCTCCTATGTTTTCTAACATTGTTATAGCTTTTAAAATAAGTTGAACTAGTACAATGCCTATTAAATAATCAAAGGAATAAACAAATAACAGACAGAACTTAACTTATAGTATTTACACATTAAGTCTGAAATAAAATAATAATTATTTTACCTTTCACACTTCCTTTTGCAGCAAACACAGCAATAGGTTGTGAATAGTTGGAAGCTAAACTCCTAAACATAAAAACTAAGCCGTGATCAGCCTTTTCATTGCATTGTTTCCCATCTCCAAAATCTTCTAGACCAGTATACGATAGTTTCTTAGTATTAACAGATATGCTTTCTCTTGAAAAAATTTCGTCAAATACTAATACTCCATGTCATTCCTGTGTATTAAGTAATTCAAATTTGTTCTTTAATAAACTGAAAAATTTTTCATCAAAGCCACATTTTGTTTGAATTAATAACAGATAGCGTCGAATAGTTTTTGGAGCTGGGAGTGGTAATATATCTTGTTTCCTTAAAAATGTATACTCTCTAGATGACCTAAAAATATAAAATATATTTACACGAATATATAATTATTCATTACTAATAATAAATTACTTACCTAATATTCAAAATAATACAAAGCAAAATCCAGTTGTCAGAATACCTTCGACCTTTTGGTTTAACTTTACTAGCATTAATAATTTCATTAATAACAATTTTCTGGGATTCATTTAAAGTAGAATTCTCTAACATATTTGAAACTGTAGTTGCAGATAAGTTTTTCATTGAATCCTGAATATTTGATAGTTTTTGTTGCAAATTATTAATTTTTGATTTCATTCTAAAATTTAAAAAAAAAAAAAATACAAAAATTTAAATAGGTATTACTTATTAATTTATTTGTTTTGCTATAACCTGATAATTGATTTTTTCATAGTGTGTTGGGTTTTTTTGATTTTAGAGAAGCGGTTTTTGCGATTAGGTGTTAGACAAGAAGCAATATGTTTTTTCTGACCAAGTGAATACCTTTTTTTAAAAACTCTAAAACTGTTATATAAACGTTTACAAAAATTGCATACTTTATGACACAAGTATGGGACATTTTATATGGCGCCACTTATTGGTTATGTCTAACACACATTGTTTGATAGTTATTCCTAAATCATTTAAAAAACAACTTATAAAAAATTAATTTGATACAAGCTATTAAATAAGTATACTTATATTTGAGAAATAAATAATTAAGTAAGTATGTAACTTAATTAAGCAAAATTTTCAACAATAATTACCGGGAAAATTAATTGGAAAAGGTCCAGCAGTACAAATATGTTGGTCATTTAAAACTTGAATTGCATCATTAAGCCAATTTAAAGAAAAAGGATAACACATCTTACTAATTCCCAAATGCTCCAAATCAAATTTATTATTCATAACATAGCAATTAATATTTCCATCTACTGTGAATATTAACTGTTTAGTAATAATAGCTTTAATCTGTTCTCCATTAATATTTTCAGCTATAAAAAAACTTATCCCATAATCATCATAAATACTATTCCAATTAACAGGCAATAGTATAGAAGAAATAGTACTAACCAATGTACTAAATGATTCTATTCCATTGCAAATTTTATCCTGATAAAAAAAAATGTATTTGTAATTTGTATTAATAATATTAATTCAGTTATTATTTAATGTATATAATATGAACCTACCTGATTAATATCAATAGCAATTGGACTTATCAGTTTGGAATCAAGTACTGAGTCAGTAGCTTCTGTCCACTTTAATTTTTGCCTACAATTTGGACTATGTGGTACAGTGTAAGAACTTGATTCCAATTCAGAATCATTAGAATTTTTGACTATGTCTAAGATGGAATGTTCACCTTGGAAAAATATGTCAATATTAATTAAAATACTAATATTAGTGAACCAGAGTACCTAAGTAAAATGTAACTTTGGGAAACGAGTGGTGTAAAAACCAACACCTGACAGTGGCTTGCACTAACTTCTAGGTAGCTTCTATTGGAACCACCTTTACATACATGTTAAACTTGAATGTATAATTGATGTTAATGCTTACCTTGAATGTCATTAAATATGGATGGTATCGCTCCTTTCTGTAATCTAGGTTTAATTACTTTTAAATTAAGTTCATCACTAAAAAAAAAATTATTGGCATATTTCAATCTTTAGATGACCTAATATTATAATAATTTGGGAAAAATCTTACGTAGTGGAGATGGTTGGAGAGTTCCATTGAGAATAAGAACGAATAATATCAGAGTCTTTAAAATGAAGTTCACAAATAAATTTCACATTTGTTATTTTATTATTAACTCGAGAAACGATTGAAGACCGCGGATTGTTTATAAGTATATCCTTAGGTGCACTAAATAAACTGAAAACCGATTTGCTTTTCCGACTGCGACAATTTAATACAGAGCACTTATTAACCATTTTAAATACTAAAGTACACGTATTATACTTAATAACAGGACTACAGGACAAATCCATGTTATAATAATTATTGTTGTTATTAATATAATTAGAATTATAAATAATCTTTTTTAAGAAACTATATTTCACCGTTAGATGGCTCTAGTGCAGATATAAGGAAGTCAGTGACAGTTCGTGTCTATACCTCTCCCTGCTCCCGCTCTACAGTGTTCCGTCCTATTAATCATAGTTCATGGCTACTACTGAACCTAAGAGGTCCGCAGTCCTTTCAAGACAAAAGGACGGTGGACGGGGTCGTTCACGGGGACGTACACCGCGGCAGCCGTCGAACTCGGGTTATTGGAAGACGACCGAGCGTGGCGGGCCTGCCTGACGGAATCGGCGGCGTTGGACACACCGCGGCAACTGCGGTATCTGTTCGTCACGATACTGGTATTCTGCGAGCCGTCAAACCCGCTGGCGTTGTACGAGACGAACGAAGCAAACCTGATGGAGGATTTCAATAGGCGCCTCCAAGACGTCGACCGCGCGAGGGCCGCGTGTCTGAACGCCATCGGGGATCTACTTCGTGCGCACGGAAAGTCGCTGGGCGACTACGGTTTGCCCCTGCCCGACCCCCTAATGCTGGAACCGGAACAGAACGACAGACTGATCCAAGCAATAGAAGAGGCGACACGGTGGGCACAACAGTTGGACGACATGAACGCCGAACAGCGAACGGTGCTCGACCGCGTAATGGCGGCCGTCGACGACGGCCTAGAAGCAGCGAAGACTTTCTACGTCGACGGACCTGGCGGCACCGGAAAAACGACTCTGTACGGATGCCTCATTTGGTCGCTCCGCAGCAGTGGCCGGTCGGTGTTATGCGTCGCATTCACCGGGATCGCAGCGTCACTCATGGACGGCGGCATGACCGTGCACTCGACGTTCGGATTGCCGTTCGGCACGCTGACCGACGACTCTACATCGACCATCACCATGCAGTCCGAGCGAGCGCGCAAGATACGCGACGCGGCACTCATCGTGTGGGACGAGGCGCCAATGTCCCCGGGACTGCAGCTGACGGTGGTGGACCGCCTGCTCAGGGACGTCATGGGATCAGAATTACCGTTCGGCGGTAAACCCATGCTGTTCGCGGGCGACTTCAGGCAGATATTGCCCGTGGTCCGAAGAGGATCGAGGGCTGACATCGTCATGTCCTCGATCAGGCACAACAGTCTGTGGCGTGGCATGGAGCGCTTTAACCTGGTCCGCAACATGCGCGCCGACAACGACGCGCGCTTCGCCGCTTGGTTGCTCCAGCTCGGCAACGGTCGACTGCCCGCGGTCGACGGTGTCCCAGACACCGTGCAAATCCCCCGGGCAATGACATGTGACGTTGCTGATCTCATAGATTTCGTCTATCCGGAGCAAATGTCGTTGGCCAACGTCGACGACTTTTCTCGGAGAATCGTTCTGTGTCCCAGGAACGACGAATGTCGAGCCGTCAACAGGGACGTGCTTCAGCGCGTCGACGGTGCCCAGAGGAGCTACACCTCCATCGACACCGTGGTCGTCGACGATCCCGACGAAGTGGCCAATTTCCCCACAGAATTCATCAACAGTTTGGAACCGGACGGCCTGCCGCCGTACCGGCTGACGTTGAAGGTGGGGTCAATCGTCATGCTGCTCAGAAATCTCGAACCGAAGAGACGGCTGTGCAACGGCACTAGGTTGGTGGTCACCGAACTGCGTCATCACAATTTCAAGGCCAGGATTTTGAACGTTGACGCACAGGACGATATAGTCGTGCCTGCGATACCGCTCACGTCCAGCGGCGAGGTTGTCGTTCTCCATGACTATCAACAAGTCGCAGGGTCAGACGTTCGACCGAGTGGGTATTTTCTAAACATTGACTTACCTCATCCTGGGTCAGGGTGCGGTCCGACGTCCCCGAACACCTTGACAACCGGGAGCGGGATCGTGAGCGGATTCGCAGCGTGGAGAGCGGCAGGGAAAACGAGCGTTCCCTGCTACCGCCGTTGCTCGATCCATCGCTTCGTCTCAAGCTCCGGTCCCGCTCTTGGTCGGTGTTCGTGCGGCCGCGGGCCCCACGGCCACCATGTCGGTTTCCCCGACCACCACCCCTACCTACAAACGCGACTTTTATAGTTTCAACTACTCAGTCTCCGCAATCGGTAGCCACTTTCAGCTGACACGGGGGGTTTCATTTTGAATTCCCCGTTTTTTCACTTACATCTAGCATGCAACGGGTCATGCATCCAATCCGCCATTTACACATGCCCTATAACTCATAGATTTGCATAGAGCGATGATTGATGGCTAGACATTCGATTACAATTATTCGCAATTCCTAATTTCCTAAACAGTCAACAAAACAGAAACGGGCATACAGCGGGGCATGGTATTACACTAAAAAAGAGAAACCTATTTTAACTAGAAGTAGTAGCTTAGATAATAAGTCAGGTAGAACTACACGTAGTAAAGTTACTGATAGTTTTGAACACACAGAGTTATTATTCGATAAAAAATTACGAAATAAAAAAATGGTTACTATAAAATTAGAGGACGCGTTTAAATTAATACCTTTATGCACAGGTGAGGATGACATATATCCATTTATTAATGCATGTGACATGGCAGTGAGTCTAGTCGAGGAAAAATGTGCACCAACGTTAGTGAAATATATTACTACCAGATTAACTGGTAGAGCGTTAGAAATGATACGATATAAAAATGTGACCAAGTGGACATTTATTAAAAGTTATTTAACAGACGCGTTTGAGGATCTAACAACTGCATCTAGCTTACAAATACAACTAAATTCGATTAAAATGCGCAATGGTGAAGA